CCCGTACCTTACAAAAACTTGGAAACCAGATCTGAGCATCGTAAAATCTTGCCTATTTCAGATCTTGTCCAGACATGGTGCATGTTTCGTTTGGACATGGACATGTCTGAATCAGGACTGAGGCAGGTATGGATTCTATCACAAAAGCAGATCTGCTCAAGGTCTGATTCAGACCTGGAACATATATGGGTCAGACCTGGTGCAGGTCTGTTCAGATCTGACCCATATATGTTCCAGGTCTGAATCAGACCTTGAGCAGATCTGCTTTTGTGATAGAATCCATACCTGCCTCAGTCCTGATTCAGTCATGTCCATGTCCAAACGAAACATGCATCATGTCTGGACAAGATCTGATGAAGGCAAGATTTTAAGATGCTCAGATCTGGTTTCCAAGTTTTTGTTGGATAGATTTCCACTCACTAAATTTTCAAAAAGACTCCGGGGCAGATCGATTCAAGGGTCTAAAAACAGTTTTGATCATTTTTTTTGCAAACAAGGCGAAAAAACAAGCTGTTTAAAAGATTTATTGAAATGTTTTATTTTCATTATTTTAACTAAAACACCTGCGAGATGTTGAAGAACAAGAAAATGAACCACATAAATGGGGCACCAATTTCCAACCCCCAACGCAGTTTATAACATTAGAAGTCGTTTTTGAAAATTTTCAAATATTGAATTTGAGAAAACAGGGGGATGGAAACTGGAAAAGAAGCCCTATACAGAAGACCAGAGTTCGTTTTTTTCATATGAAACTATGTCACGAGCATAATGGATTAACTATTTTGTAACATCTACCAAGTTCGGGGGAATATTTTTTATTTCATTTCATGCATCAAGTGGTCGAATGAGTCAGGTAGTTTCCGACTGAACTCATGAGGAACTGTTCCTGTCTCGACAGATCTTCTAGACTGTTCAGTTCCCGCAAACTGCGGCCTCCTTCCAAGTTGTCATTACCTCCGACGCCATTGTAATTTTCACTAGTCGCGCCACTCGTGAACTGAGTCTGATTCGACTGCGTGACTGGAGATGCCGCGTAGTGCAGTAACGATGGCGGGTGTCCAGATGTCTGAGGTTGGTTTCTATCCGACGTGTGGTATCCCTGGGCGTCTCCGGCAGCACCTACGCTTTGTCCGGAAGTAGACTGGTGATGCATTGACAGAGAAGGCGGCGTCGTAAGATGCTGAGGTGTGTTTGTGATGGACTGCAGCGGGAATTGAGCAGGCGATGCCTTGCTGCTACTGTTTCCCGTTGGCGCCTGTTGATTTGTATGGTTGCTGTTTAGAGTAGAACTCGACTGATGTGGAGCAGGAAGAGAATTTTGTTGATTGTGCTGATGGAGAGAGCTGTGAGTTCCTTGAACATGAGTATGTACACTTGGTAGAAACCGCCTTTGGAAACAGCAAAAAATACCTGAAAACCACAAACATTACAATTGAGACCACTTTGACCTGAGCTGCACTATATGATAATTTCTTTTTATAAAGCTAAATAATTTATAATTTTCCACCGGATAAAGCAACGCAAATGGGCTGCTCAACAGATACCGTTCAAAAAGCTCCTCATTTTTAGTAAAGACAGTGAAAGAAACATTGAATAATACCTTTCCGTTGGACTCGCAGAGAAAGCGCAGTTTTTGTATCTGGTAGTGGCAGAATACTCCGTCCAGGTTTCCAGTATCTATTGCTCGGATCTCGATGGAAGTCGTGCAGTATCATAACACATGATTCGGACCGACCGCCGCTAAAATAGATGTTACAAAATTGAAAAAGAAACTGATTTCCAACATGTCAGAAGCTTTTTGGGTAATTCTAACTTTTAAAAAGTTTACAATTTAAAAAGCCACCACTGTGTAAGCAAAAGCAGTTAATGAAGCTTTCATTTCCCATTAACTGTCAACTATGACCATTTTTTGCTTCCTAGACGTGTACTATATCCTTACCAACGGATGTCGGTGGTTCTCCCCATAGAAATGCGGCGTCTCTAAACGTCCTTCCATTTGTATCAACGTACACACCTTCGCCTGAAAATCAAATGATTAAACATCGAATGATTCAGCGCACACAGATTCTTTGACAAGCTATTTTTCGTGCTGAGCTAATGATGAACTGAAGGTAATTTAAAAAGATTAGGTTAAGTATCCTATTGAACATAATTAGAATTTGGAACTGAATGCAGTTAGGCAAAATGTTTCAATTTACTGTTGTAGCACAAGAGTAGTTTGGTTCCATTACTGCCTGGAAATGTCGCCACGCAATGCGGCACAACTGACCCCGTACCCGTCTAAAACAGAAGTAGCCTTAGTGTCAATGAAACACATTGATAGCAATTTCCAACCGCAGTGTCATTTACAGACAAAGGGGAAGCTGAGCTTCGCATCACAAGAGAGACACAAGAGAAAATATAAGCTACAATTCCTGAAAGCCAAAAGTAAACGGCAATTGCTGAAAATCGTAAGAGATTTTGAAGTCCTAAAAAAATAATGCCTACAAGGAAATCAGATTTTTCTTTTCAACAGCATCAACAAGATGTAAATTGACCTAGGTCCGCAAGTCATTTAGCTAAGACACTGATAAGATTCCTTTACAAAACTCAGTTTTCAATCCAATATAACGTCAAGATACCGTGCTGAATATTTGGTTTTCAATTCCTCCTTGTAAAAAAAATATAGAACCGAATGATTCGGATTATTAGCAAAATCTGATTATATCTGTTTTGTCTGCACAAATCAAAATATTCTCAATTCAATTGCCTGTATATTCAATGCTCTATCTGCGAATATATCATTTACACAGAGGCGAAGCTGTGCTTCGCGGACACTTGCGACAACATAATCAAAAAGCAGCTCTATCAAGTTAAATAGGAAAAAGTAGAAATAAGCCTCGAGTTAGCAAAAAACTCGGCTATCTGCAGGATTCGAATGTGCGACCTACTGCAATCAATAGATTTTGAGTCTCCCGCACTATCCCCGCAACTACTCGAGCTTTACAGCCGACAAACACTAGTCACGAATAAAGCAGCTACATATGCTAGCAAATTGCCAATGCGATTCAGCACTAAATACAAATAGATACAAATTAGCAATTAATAGTTTGGAATATAACAAACTGAAGGCATCCACCCTAACTTTGCATGTAACAAAATGCGAAATATAAAACCACATTATGCATTTCAAAAAGTTGCGAGATATATTGAGTTAGAAAATTTCTAAAATTAAGTTTTTATTATTGTGATGTGGTTTGAAACAAATAGCTTTTTCCGGTTCATTCGATGAAATAAAAATGCATCAACTATGTTAATTTATTGTCCAAACACATGCAATCAAAAGCTGTAAAGGTGCCCCGCCATTTTGGGGTGCCGCACCAATATTTGCGACTTAGGTTGAAAAAAAATAAGGTTCGTAATAATACACTAGCTTCGCAAGAGTAATCAGGATCAGATGCGAATTTAGGGAAGCAGTTTCATTTCCTTTACTACTATTTGGTGAAATCTGTTTTTGTCGCCAATAAATGTTAAACTTAAGGGGGGAGCGCACGCCAAAAAAAAGCAATTTTTGTACCAAAATTTTGCAAAAATGGTCCAAAAACGGAAAATACCGGTGGCGCAGAACCATTTCACAAAATAGATTTATACAGTGTTTTAGGCAACCTCGGAAAAAAATTTGGTCGATCTAGAAATCCACCCACGAGAAAATGTTGTATCTTACATCCTGGCCGAGTATCTTGTAGTTGAACAGATTCAAATAGTATGCTCTGATTTTGCACTTGGCTCCAGAGATGCTGATCATGAGATTCAGATTGGGCAGAGTGTCTACCAACTGGAATTTCCTCCGCTTGATCAGCTGTGACACTGTAAAGACCAGATTGATATGATTTTTATGAGCTTTTCTGAACTCAAGTCCATTTTTATTAAGATTTCAATTAAATGCACCTAAAATAATTTTGTAATGAACTAGAAATGAAACTAATGAAGGCTAATCAATTGCAACGGAACCGAAAAAAAAATCCTAGCAATTTCAATTGCTAATGATTTTATTTAGATACTCTATTAAGCGATAATTATTCGTGTATTACCTTTGCCTTCGCCGCTCCTGTCGATAAAGAAGAGCAGTCTCAGTTCCAATCAGCAGATTCACACCTAAACAATACTGATGTTCTAGAGACGTTTTACACCATTAGTGAAAAAGACGCTCACTTTTTTCTGTGCTTATGAACTAGAGCAGGTACAGCAGCACCCAATTTATGGCTGCCGGTTGTCCTTTTCTTGCATGAAGTCAACCCCTCCAACACCTCTACCGTTCGTTATTGACCCTCTTCGACAAATTTTAATATGCTCGATATTCAACCGAGCTTATCTAAATTGTATCCAAAACCGCTTAAGATGCTAAGATATAATAACTTCGAGCTTCGAGAAATTGCGTTAAATATGAAATATGAGTTCATAAGGTGTGATAAAATAATTTTTCGATTTATAGTGAATTGTAATTTTGACCCCTATGCCGAATCAAATCATCCGTCGAAAAAAGTACAAACCATATTTTAAGTATAGCTGCTGTGAGTATTTCCTGTCTGTACTTCTTGCGGAACTGCCTGATCTCTGCGTCTGGCTGTTTGCTCGACTCTGCACTGCCAACAGTCACACTCACATTGTTCACACCTATGTCCCCACCCATGCCCACTCCCTGCTGCCCCACCCCTACAGACCCACTAGCTGTCCGAGCCAGGAGGGGCCCGAAAAAGGCATTGCTGTTGTTGTTTGAAGAGTTGGCCCAGCTCCACTTGCTGAACCAGACACGAATGTCGGCAAGTCCAAACCAGGCATGCCTCCCTTCTTCTGCAAACAATAATATACATATCCATTACAATTCGAATGAGAGAACAGTCCTCCTATATAAAACGGTCCCTCCTTTATTTGTGACCACCCTATTTGACATATAAGTTTGATTATGAGCAGAAAAGGTATTTAACGGCAAACAATTTAGTTTTCAACAAAAGTTTCTATCAATGCTCGCACAAATAGTTTTTATCAGCGAGCCAAAACAAATTACAAGAAATGATATTGTCCTCAAGTCATCTTTGTATGTTAAGCTCAGTAGCATATTGTACAAATCTGAAATAGTTTTTCCCATATGCATCCGGTTATCGCAACTGCAAGCTTTTGATCAGCGAGTTTCTTAAATATTAAACTAAAACGATGGGAGATCGACTCAGGTGGCACAAATAATACTCCTGCTAAACAATGAATCCTTTGTAAAAACACTTTTTCAATTTCTACAGACCGCGGGGAAGCTATTTTGGAATAATAGAAAAATCTGAAAATTTTTTTTCTTTTGCAGGTTTTTATTTTTAGCCACCCGACTTTTCGTTCTAGAATTATTACAAACACGTTATTCTAAAGCTCTACGTCTGTAGAATTTATTTCTATACCTGCTTTTCAAAAACTGAAAACAAGGACGTAATTTTAAACGAGTTTTAGTATTATTTGTTAAAATAACTATTTTCAACGATAAAAACAAGACACGTGACAAAAAATGAGAATTCATTCGAAAATTTCAAAAAAAAATTTTTTCAGATCTGATCATGTCTGATGCAGTTCTGGACAGATATGCAATCTCACAACAAATGGATTCACCCTGGGCATATCTGTATTTTTATTTTTTTTCTGTAACATTATAGTTTTTGTATCTTCCAGGTCTGTACATGTCTGATACAGTTCAGGACAGATATGCAATCTCACAACAAATGGATTAACCCTGGGCATATCTGTATTTTTATTTTATTTCTGTACGGGCAGCGAGTTGCAACCCCTTATACAAAGTATAGAGCTCCCCAGGAGCGCGAAGCTTTTTTTAGTTCTTATGTAATTTATAGATTCTGGATAGCTTTCCTGTCTTTTTTCACTTAGTTTTTCGGCTAATCGCTGCATAGTCCACGTGGCTGTTGGAGCAGCCAAAATTTTTACATCAAAGAAAGCGCGGCTGAATTGTGAACCCCAGAGTCCGCTTGTCTTGATTTCAAGTCGTGCCTCATCTTCAATTGTAGTTGAATTGTTGAAGACGCTTTCGCCTGGCAACGGCTGATTTTTCGGCTCAATCTCGACGTCATGTCAAACCTCGTTCATGACGTTGGCGAATGTGTTTCTATTTTTGATTGTGTTTTATGTGTGTGTAACCGCCCCGTTCACAGTGTAGCTTATGTGTCAAATAAAAATTAAACACCACATGCACATGTGAGTGGGGTTTTGGTCGGTTCCCATCCGTATCTTAAGTAAATATTATCTCTGAATTCTGATTTATTCATGTTAATGTTGTATTTGCTCAGTGGTAAAGCGTTGAACCAGTTAGAAGTTCCCTTTTTGGAGAGCAGGTTGATTGCTTTTTTTTAATCTGTTTCTTTCAAGGAGTTAATGAGGTTTATTTTCTTTCGGTTTGTTCTATCAAATTTCACTTTTTTGTTTTTTGTACAAATTTTTTCTTGCTGTGTTATTGCTGTAACAGGATCTTGAAATTTCAGTACTTAAGATGTTTTTTTAGACCAATCTATATAGTTTTTATAATCGGATGGCAGCTTGATGTTAAAGCCGCCCATGTTAAAGGGTAAGAAAGATATCCCACGGAACTGGGGGTTCAATGCGTCTTTAACGAATAGGTTAGGTATTAATTGTTCTTTCATAACCTTTTCACAAATTTCTAAGTTTTCCACAGTGTTAGGTCATGTCCCGGTAAGAATTGAAAGCTTTTCTTGAACTCCTTTAGTATAGCAGGCAGAAATGTTTTGGGGGGAGGTTTTAGCTATTTATGTTAATTTTTTCAAAATTTTGATTTGCTTATTGTGTTGAAACTCGAGGATTTTTTTACTTTCTATTTTTGTTCCTATAACTAAACTAAGCACTCGGGCGCCTGCCTTCATAGTGATAACTGTATTTTCGAAGATTTTGTCAGCTTCACCGAGTTTTTCATCTTTGACAATGAGTTGGTATTTGGATGCTTTAACATGATAGCCAAAACAATTACTTAGTGATACAATTTTAACGAGGACGGTTCGTAGATTGCTCAATTTACCGACTGCGTTTACGTTGTCTGCGTACCCATTCTGGGTTACGTTGTCTACTGATAAAAAATTTATGAGGAGTATTATGGCTAGGCCGTACAAAGCCTTTGCTAGTGGATCCCCTTGGGTTGTCCCTTCTTGAGCGTAGATTTTGTTTTTTTTTGCTATCGAATAGTTTGTATACATTGGAGTAGGAGTTCTTAATCGCTG